TGGGATTGAGGGAAGACTGAGAAAGAGGGAACAAATAACATATACTGCATTGAAACAGATGATGGAGAGAACTGTTTCAAAGGGATATATGATTAGGTATTATTATCATGACAGGAGACCAGAATGAAGGCTGCATAGCGGACTGGACTTGGGGGGAGGGATTGTATAACAATGAAGGAATTTTTCTTTTACTTTTCAAAGAGAAGAGCGAATTGGGGGAGGGGTGGACAGGGAGAAAAATGCAACAATGGATGAATAAAAATCCAAAGTCTCTGTAAATGTTCAGTAAAATTAAATTTTTTTTTTTTTTTAAAGTTCCACTGCTAATGTGGCAGCACCTCTCAAGGGTACGGGCAAAAATGGAGAATCTCCCAGGTGATTTGCAGCCTCCAGGAAAAACCAAACCAAGCTAAACAAAACAAAAACCACACCAAACAAACTTGCTTAGAAGGGTCACTTATGATTCCGACTTGACAGAAAAGAGTTGGGTTGGATCTACCCTGTTCAGCCTTTTCTGATGTCTTTCTTGGAGTTGCATGATCCCCAGCGCCTAAAGACCTCCATACTCCAGCAAGCTCGCCTCTGGGCTCCTTCAGCCATGGAGTCCCTTTGTGGTGGCTGTCTTTTTGGAGATTTGGGGACTCAGCTCCTTGTGCCTGTCCATGTTCATGTGGAGTGGATTGTTGCACCCCTTCATGATCTCTGCCATGCTCCCTTTCGCTGGTGCTCTCAATTCCCCAGGAGAGGCAGCTGCGCGGCCAAGGCCCAAACACTTGGCTTAAACCCAAGAGCTGCTCAGGGAGAAAGGTGGGGGAACCCAGCCCCACCCGGCGCAATTCACAGCCCGGGGCTCAGCTTTGAGAACAAGAACTGCTTTTCCCAGAATGATGTCTCTCTCCCTAAAATAAATCCAAAGTGAGGAACGTCACCACCCTTGCCTCTAAGTAGCGCTCTGACAACGCTTGTTTGGAGATAGATTTATTCTTAGGGCAGTCCACGGTATATTCAAGACCCTCCTTCCAACACCATCATCCAAAGATCAGGAAGGTGGTGCTCAGATCCCTCCCTAATTACGCATGGAACACCCCTCCTTACAAAGTGGGAGGGGCTTGGAGCCTTGCTTGCTTTTTAATCCCTTCTACAGGTGAGAGACCAAAACGCGGTTTATGATCCGCTCGCAAGGTTGAAATGAGAATTTTATGCCTTTAAAGCTATCTGTGCATGAGCTGCTTACAATAATTTGGCTAAGGATGCATTTTAGAAACTTGAGCGTCTAAATTCAACCCACAGGGATTTTTACCTCTCCTTGCAGGAGAGAGGTTTACTGTGAATGCTCCTTTCACAGACAAAACATCTATAGTTTGCCTATAGGGAAATAACACATCCGCTCTTCCACTTCGCTATCTGGCAAAGGTAGGATCTTAAGCCCAGGTACTATGACTCAGAGCCCTTCCTAAGTGTGTATTGTGTGTATGGTACTGGTTATTGGGGATCCAGCCATAATGAATTTTAATACTGACTTAGAACTTAAAAAAAAAAAAAGTGTGTTAATTTAATATGGTGATTCCCCTTCCTGACACTGCGGTGTCCGTGGTCCTACAGTCTAAGGTATTTTTAAGTCCCCAGTGCACGTCCCTTTCACATTTTAGAGGTGTGCTCGAGCTCTGGGCTAACGACTGCAGCCTCCAGTCCGATGCACGCCTGGCGCACGGGAGGTGGTCAGCACACATCGGTGGAAGGAAAGAATCACTCGTGTTGGCCGACTTGATGCATTTCGGGGGCAGCAGGCACGCTCGCGACCCGATGGCCCGGGCTGCGGACCCCCCACCCGGCGCGGGGCTGCCGACCCGGCGCGGAGCGGGCGACTCCGTCTGGTGGCTGTGGCGTCGGCGCGGGCAGCTCGCCCGCTCTCGGAGTCCGCTGTCGTCAGAAACTGAAGGCGTCTTGTGCGGAGGCCAATCAACAAGCCAACCGCATCGAACCGGGTCGTTCCGTCTCACATCCTCCCTCGGGTGCTTCAGGTCCTCCCTGGAACAAAGTGACCCTCCGTCCGCGCGCGGGTAGCTCCCCGCTTCCTCCGGGCCGCGCTGCGCGGCGCGCGGAGGCGCCCACCCTCGGGACGCGGGGGCCCGCGCGAGGCCACGCCCCCTCTCGGGCTCACACCGCACTGCACGCACGGCCGCGCGCCTCGGGGTCCGAGCGCTAGCGCGCAGGCGCGTGCGGTGGGCGAGGCTCCCTTCCGGCATCCACTGAGCGCGCCATCCCTCGGCAGGTCCCGCCCCCCCGGCCCCGCAGGCCCCGCCTCCGAGACGGGGCCGCCGGGAGGAGGCGACCGGAAGCCACTTTAAAGCAGAGCTCGAGGTGACAGGCGAGCTGGCCGGACTGAGAGGCGGCTGCTCCTGACGCTCCCAGCCCTCTACGCTCCCGGCGGCGGAATGGCCAGTGCACAGCTCGCGGCGGTTTCGGGCAGCGACCCCTAGACGCCACTGCCTGCCCTCGGCCGACCTCGGACGCCCCCCGCGAGCCGACAGCGACCCGCCTCCTGTCGCCCCTTCTCTGAGACTCTGAGGAGCAGTTGGAGTTATGGAAATGAAAACCACTAAATCTGAGCCAAACTCTGTAGTGCAGCCTCCCTCACCTACTGATGGCTTTCC